CGTTTTGGAAGCAGGCGCTCTGGCATACAGACTCCTTGACCAACCAGGCCCTGTGCGGTCTGGGAAGAGATCAGGGTGAACTTGGGTGATGAAGGGGAGAAGGCAGATGGAAACCTGCAGCAGGTAAGAAAGGATCCTTCAGGAACGGTAAATAATTTAAAACAATTATGATAATGCGACCACCTCTACAGGGCTGGACACAGTCAATGAACGCGCAAGTAAATATGAAATTAAGACAATACCTTTTTTTTTTTTTAAATAAAGATTTTAATCAGAATGCAGAACTAGGAAGGCCATTAAAGAGATCATGCTCTTTACTAGTGTTTGGGGATAGCCCTTGAAGAAAAGTTGCTTTGGAGAGGAGGCAAGAATGGTGGCACTGGGTCAGATCAGAGGCCCGTCCAGTCCAGCATCCTGTTTTTTGACAGTGGCCAACAGATCCCTGACAGAGACAAGGTATACATACCGGTTTTGATCCCAGCATCCAGCAATTTGTGACTTAAGGACACTCCAAGTGCAGAGGTGATACCTTTGTTTTTAATAGGGATTTTTTTTTCACCAGTCAGCCCCCTTTTTCTTCCCCCATGGCTTTGTCCAAGCATTTCTGAACCCCTGCCAACATTCAGCATCCACATCATCTTGTGGCAAGAAGTGCACAGTTGAAGCCACATAAAATAAGTATTTGTTTTAGCCTGTCACCCACACTAGCCTGAGCACTGAATTTATGAAGACACGGAAATCTTTCAATTTTTCTATGGAATATTCTGACCCCAAAGATGCTCAAATGGCAGCTGAGAGATGGCCAGCTACATCCTGGTGGCTCTTATCCTACTAAGATGTTTACTTCAATTTTCGAATAGCTGGATGAACACACCTCAGTTTCAGGCAGTTAGGTGGCTATTTCTAGTTCATCACTGACCACCTGAGCACACCCACTATCTCTTTTACTTTAGATAACATACTATGGAAACAATATTATGTTTTATACGATACATTAATCCACACAGAAAGCCCAAGCCTACTCCCTTTGTGCTGTTCTGGGAAACGCTGGTTAGGACAGAAAACTATATCCTACACGAGAGGTATTCATGGGTACAAAGTCTTCAAAAGTTAAATTTCCATTCTTCTTTGTGCTTCTCAATGGTCTGAAGTGTCACGTATTGTGGTGCCCAAGCACATCACCTAGGTACTGCTACTGATGCTGCCAATAAAAGACAGCAGTAAACCCTTACTTGTCTAGAGCAATGTTTTTATTTGACCAGGAGCATACTTTTAGAAGTGAATCTCCTGAGCATCCCTCCTCACACACACGCACACGCTCTCCCTGCTTTGCTGTGCATCGCACAGGAGTCTCACAGCAGGCAAACTGATTATCCCTTGGGTAACTTACAGCAAACTGGATCTCTCTCAAGACTGAAGTGAAAACTGCTCTCTAACTCCTCATGCGACCAGCCTGCAACTAGTCCAAGGCAGCCCCTCAAATACGTGCCGTGGGAACATCAGGTCCTCCATGCCAACCACTTCGGTCTCCAGATCCACTCCTGCAGTCACCCACACGCCAGTGCAGGCTCAGCTGCTTGCATTGACGTCTCCACTTTCAGGCACTCGCTTTTGGTCAGTTTGGAGACAGGTAGCAGTGATTTCCCCGTTCCACTAGCATTTGTTTAATCCCAGAAACGTGCCATCAGTGCCATGGCTATTGGGCACTGAGGAATGCAGGTTAAGAGGAAGGGTTAGTACTCCTTCTCCGCAAAATTCCCCACTTTCCGTATTTTGGAAGAGCAGTGCCTACAATGTTTTCTGACCCTTCTCCAGCTGGAGAAACAAAATGTCTCCTCCTACTCACCATCATCATCCCCAGTGAGTACAGGTCACTGAGACTTAGTGAAGAGCATGCAGGTAGATTTCACCTTTTTTTTCTTAAATACCAACGGTGAGTAGGACGGATAGATTGCACTCAGAGTCACCTGTGCGGGTCGAAATGCATAAATAATGTGTGCTTGACTTAAGTTAAATTACAAATCTATTTAAAACAGAATGCTTGAAACTTGCTACATATATATACAAGTTTTTAGGAGTTGTACATCTTAAATGCATAGACCCACTGAGGAGAAACACAGGCTGCCAGTTGGCCCAAGTCACCAGTGATAGGAGTAACAGAGATTATCAGGTTATTCTTTCTTTTAATAAAACTTGTTTTCATTCTGGAATAATTGATTAGCTTCTGTAGTTAAAAGAACGTTAGTTAAAACAGCTGAAGAGATAAACTATTCAGGCAAGTTAATAAGCTGAAACATAAAATGTTATAGAACATATATTTTTTAATGAAGATGTGGCAAATATTTTAAGTTTGTTTTCTATTTTCAGAATACTGTAATAACTTCAAACCCCCTGGTCTGTCAAGAACAACTTCATTCAATTTTTAATTATTTTTATTTTTAGAACAGGGAGGTATCGTGAAGTACACATTCAAATCTAAACAAATATGGCTTATTACATGTAACTAAGAGATGCAAAAATAAAAAGCAATCCATTAATTGTGCTGCCCTTTCTAACAACTTCTTCACTAACATGCAATAATTATGGATCATGGGGATATTTTGGAAATCAGAAAGGATTTCAGACAGGACAAGCGAACATACCCGTTTCAGCGGGTATTAGTGCAGTAAAGAGGTCACTTCTCTTTCACCAACACACATACTCCACTTCTCACTCACCTTTCATTGTGTCTAAAACCCAGCATGAGCCCTTCTCTGTTACTGACTTCCTTGCTGACTTCCAAGAGAAACGGGTAGGCTCTGTTTTCTTTTGGATTCAACTTTTAACACAAGATTTGGTGGCCCTCATCTTTTCTCATCTTATACCAAAATAACGCCAAGAACAAACACTAGCCATGCCAGGGAGACAACACAAAGGAGAATTTCAAGGGTTCCAAAACATCTGAAATCCTAATTTCCCTGCTTTACAACACTCTCCCCCCTCCTGCCACCATGAAAAAAGGAGACGCTCTTTAAAACAACATCAACAACTACGTATTGAAGTCATCTGCCCTCCCTCTTTTTCCTGAGTGCAATTAAAGGCATGATGCCAACTTTTTGACAATGATCCTCGTGGCTCTGGCCGACCCATGTCTTACTCTTTCAGAAATGAGCAACGAAGCTCAAAGGCGGCATCTCAAGGAAAGCCTCGGAGCAGGACACGACCAGCGCTCCCAATATCTTAAACACAGAGGGGAGGTTAGCCAGCGATAAGTTGCCTTTTCAGAGTTGATCGCAAGCAAATTTATCACAGTGATATGAGAGGTCTGGCACACCAACAAGCCACAGGTAACGTCAGCATCTCTCTCAGCCCTGACCCCACCAAATCTGTAGCTGAAACCACAGGCACACAGGCTCTTCAGAAAAAGGCAGGCTGTTTTAAATACATTAAACATACTGCAAGTAAGGGCAAT